CTTGGTACTTGGATGCCTCATGCCACAAAGATAAATTACTGCCCTGCAGAAGAATTTAAGGAGTCAAATCACAGAAAAGCTGTGTCTTCAAACAGACAGTTAAGGCCAAACGTAACAAGGAACAAAGAAATTACTTCTGATAAGGAAGCAAGATGCATCTCAAGGACTCCAAATGAGTAATCAACATTTTGGATGAAAGGAATCTAAAGAATCATCAATAATATCACATCACAGACCTGAAAGATGAAAAAAACCGTATCAGAATCCAACATCAGAACAATTCAGCTGCAGAACTTCTGAGAACAATATTGCACAAAGATTGAACCCTGGACACTTCCAGAGACAGACACTGTTAGTTGGAATCATAGCTAAATTCCACCATTAATCAAGTAATAACAAAGTTGAGCCGTGAGGCTTAACTTGCTTACTTGAGGGTTCTTACTTTAGTTGCTACGTTCAATAAAGTTCAATTCATTTTTTCAGCACTTCATTTCTGTGCGATTTCTTAGTAAGTAGCTGAATTAAAGGTAACTTGTGGTGATTTACCCGCAACAATAGTTTGAGCCAGGCAGCTTAACCAAATAAGTGCCAGACACCTGAAATAGTCAAAACATTTTTTAAGCTAAGTTTTGGGGTGGCATGGCAGCTCAGTGGTTAGCACTGCTGCCTCAGTGCCAGGGACCCGCGCTCGATTCCAGCCTCGGGCGACTGTGTGGAGTTTGCAGGTTCTCCTCGTGTCTGTGTGGATTTCCGCCGGGTGCTCTGGTTTCTTCCCACAGTCCAAAAATGTGCAAGTTAGATGGACTGGCCATGCTAAACTACCCATACTGTTCAGGGATGCATAGGTTAGGTGCGTTAGCCATGGGAAATGCAGTGTTACAGGATAGGAGGATGGGTCTGGGTGAGATGCTATTTGGAGGGTTGGTGTGGACTTGTTGGGCTGAATGGCCTGTTTCCACACTGTGGGTCTTCATATATAAAAAAAAAACTTGCAAAGTCCCACCAGTCACAGCATTATAAATGTAATCCAGAATGAAAAAGGGGAAAGTGAATAAACACATGTTTAATAGGATGAACAAAGAAATGGGACTGAATGATTAGTTATTTGATAGTAAAGCCTAATTGGCCAAATGGTCTTTATCTTTACTGTGAAATATTATGGTCAGTAAAAACATAATATCATAAATAGGAATAGGAGTGGACTACATAGCTATTTCATCCATTTATTGAGATCACATTCAATAAGATTACAAATGATTGAGGTCAAAGTCCATTTGCTTGCCTAATCCCAAACTATTTATTTTGAAACTTTTAACTGACTGCCTTCTGCGATAAAGAATTCCAAAGATTCACAAATCTCCAAGTGAAGAAATTCCTTATCTTGTTCTTAATTGATCAATGCCTAATCCGGAGACTATGGGTTGTACACTTTTCATGCAGGAAAAATGGCCTCGCAGCAACTAGCCTGTAAGTGTTCCAAAAATATTTACACCCTGAATAAAACACTTTCTAATTATTCTAACACCAGAGAGTATGACTCAGTGTATTCAGCCTCTCATCAGAAGACAACACCGGTACATGAGCCCTGAGCACTGGAATGGTGATGGAACCAAGCTCTTTTCACCAGACCCGTCAAGGCACTCCAAGTCCTTCTTGCACCTCGGAAAGGTGAAGGGATGGTGAGAGGGGAAGTGGAGTAACTTGGCGGGTAGGTACCATGTCATCAAATCAACAATGGTCTACTAAAACAGGAGCAGTGATCAGATAGATGTACGTTGTCCAGCTGAGGTGGCTAGAGTTAAATGGTGTTGGCGAGGATGTGAGTTAGACTGTATTTTTGTCCCTCAACAGCAGTTGGGCTACTCTATTCACCTGCATATGCTCTGGTCTGCAGAACTGTCAAATCACTTCAAGTGCAGGAACAGCTCCACTGTGGTTACAGGTTTGACAGTAGCACTTGCACATCTCTCCATGCTGCTGATGCTCCCTAAGATGTTTACTGCCTATTCACTCCTTTCACCTTCACCCAATCCACATTTACAATGTCGGTGACTATATCTTCAGCTCAGGTTAAAATAAATTTCTACTCCCTACCCTTCAGTTTTCAGCATAAACAGCTTTTTGTTTTGAAAACCAAAATTAATGAAATATCCTTAATCAACTGGAGAATTTACCTGAGGGAATGATGTCCCAGTAAATGGAGCTTCTTTAAATGCCTCACAGCTACAACCCTTGACCGTAACGTGTTTAGTTTTCCTTAATTTTGCTCTCATTAATTTAGGGCTCAATTTATGAATAAAAATATCCATTTTAGTATAGATATGAATATTAAAATCATTTACCATTTGGTAGTGTTGTAATAAAGTTTAACAATTGGGATTTAAGCAAAAAGAGTGAAGCAAACTAAATTTTGTGCTTGTATTTTCCCATATTTTGATATGTTTCTAAAGCTAACTGCAAATGGAAAAAACACTCATCTTGAAAACACAACATGGGAAATTTATTTGTGAAAAATTAACAAAAGCATCTTATAGATATCAAGTTAAAAGACTATTTTTTAAGAAATACACACACAGTCTCTCTCTCTGGCAACTGTGCTACCATAGCTATTTCAGAGAAGGAAACCTTTAAAATACCAACTCAAATATAGGTCACGTTACTTTCTACATGACTGCACCACATAGATAAAAACGAAACATTCAAAGTTTAAAAAGTGCTCTAAGAAAACCTCATGAGCCCTCCAAAAATGAATTATTTTGTTTCCTGAATTTATCCTTCCCATGGCCCCAGAAACATTGATAGAAAATCATCCAATAATCAAAAGAAGAAAAGGAATACATGCACACTGTGATAAGCACCTAATCTATTTTGGTATCTAATTAAAAAGGCAGAGGTTGTCTGCCAAGGTTAAATTATGCCAAATTTGGGAAGATGAATCTTGAGGAGGCATAATTGGACAGACAATCAAGGAGTTGAAGAACTGTTTCTATGCCATGAGACAGGTGAATTCTGCTTAAGATTGGAGAAAGAAAATCATGACATACAAAAGTGTAAATCCAGATTACTTCCATCGTTCCCACCTAATTTTATGTGGAGAATCAAAGAATAATGTTAGTGCAGGGGTATAGTGCTGTGGTATTTCTTTTTATTATTATCTGTTGGTTTCACAAATTTTCTTGAAATCTGCATACGATTAACAATGGACCTATTCTTAGCTTTGAAGTGAGATGTATTGAAATAATTTCAGGTACTCCTATATTCGTGCTTTTAGTTACCATGGAAACATTGCAATTCTGATGGGTTATAAATCATCCTATTCAGCACAATTACTGACATATTAATGGTTATATTTGTGTAGTGTCTTAAGATGTCACAGCACCATCTTCAGTCTGCCCAAGCACGTGCAATTTTACATTATTTCTACATTTTTACTCAGTGTAAAGAGACACTAGTTTACAGAAACATGGCACAGGATTTATTTAACATGAACAAGTCAGATGAAGGATTCAAACAAAAACAAAAAACTCAGCAGGTCTGGCAGCATCTGTGAAGGAAAAAACAGAGTCCGGTGGCCCTTCCTCAGAATTGATGGCGGCTGGGAAAACGTCAGTTTTATATGCAGAAAAAAGGGGACGGGGATGGGGTAGGGAGTAAATGATAGGATAGAGCGTAAAGAGAGATAAGAGCAGTTGGACAAACAAAGAGTTGATAACAATGTGGGATTTATTTCACTTAAAAAGAAACCTTTTTAAAACTTATTTTATAATGGTATTCACAGAGTCAGAATCATACAGCATGGAAACAGATCCTTCAGTCCAACTTGTCTGTGCTGACTAGACATCCCAATCTGACCGAGTCACATTTGCCAGCATTTGGCCATTATCCCTCTATTCAAATATCCATCCAGGTGCCTTTTAAATGTTGTAATCATCCACCCTACATCACTTCCTCTGGCAGCTCCTTCCATACACGCACCACCCTCTGCACGAAACAAAAATCCCTCAGGTCTTTAAAACCTTTTAAAGGCATCTAGATGGAAATTTGAACAGAGGGATAATGGCCAAATGCTGGCAAATGTGACTAGGTCAGATTGGGATGTCTGGTCAGTGCAGACGAGTTGGACGGAAGGATCGAATTGAACTTGGGGCCCCAGTGCTGTGAGGCAGCGGTGCTAGCCACTGTGCCACCTGCTTTATATATTTCTGCAAATATATTCTTATTGCAAAGCAAATGGATAGATGAACATCAAGGTAATTTTTTTTTTGAAGCGGTGTTAATATCTGGTTCTGGTTTTAGGAAACATTACTGACTTAATCGGGTCTTTTCAAGGTTTGATTCTTATATCTCAATTTGATTTTGAAAGAACAAATTTCATTTGACTTTACTACAGAGTCATATACAGATTCTGTGGTCATTCAGCAAAACATCACACAAACACATACCATGATACAGAGACCGAATGACAATTTAGTCACGTTGGTCAAAAAACATAATTTGGAGGTGTCTTTAAATTATATAATTGTAATTTTTAAAATAAATTTTGTTTAATTTCTTACAGCGCAAGTCATGATTTTTTCTGCTATTCCAAAAAGTTGGAATACCTGAGATCAAGTTAAAATTAAATACATTTCAATAACAAAGGGTATTCAACCTTCAAGAAACATGAAACTATTAGATATTGTTCTTTAACAATACATTCCAGTTACAAAGTGCAAATACATATTAAGACACAGAAATGTAACATCTACATAATGAAATATTTCTATTGACTATTAGAATATAACTGATACGTCACAAAGCATTTTAATAATTTAGTATGTGTTTAAAGGCCGCAAAAGTCACTTGCTGTGCTGAACTATTACCACCTTATTGGATTTCCCACTTTTACTCAATTTACAATCATCTGAAAAGGATAAAATTTTCTGCCAATACGACACGTAATAATATCTTGCATTTACATTTTACACTTAGCTGTCACAGTTGCTTCACAAAGAAGTTACCTGCTTGTTTTTCTCCACTTTCAAACACTGGATCTCATTGCTGAGGACTTTTGAACGTGATCTGCTCTCTCTCAAGGTTGTTTGACAGTCTGAGTTATGACTTACTGCTTGCTCTGTTAGTACACAAACATACCACTGAGCTAAGTTCATACAAAGCACAAACTGCAGTTCCATGTTGTAGGAGGATAGTGTTTTAGCTAGATATGCACAAATAAAAGATCAAGGAACTCAACGTAACAGTACAAATGCAATCCTTTGTAGCATACTGCACAAAATTTTCAATAAGGCATAAAGCAGACTAGAATGGATCATCTACCTGTTACACATCCCGCCTGACCTCCTTTCTATGCTCATGCTCAGTCAGGTGCAGGAAGGAGTGTGCATACACAAAAGTACTAATTCCCTGTCTATATAGTGGAACACCAATCAGTTTAGGAATTTAACAGGCAGCCAATCGATTTTTAGCCACTTTTACACCCCTTCCGAAAGTTGAAAGTTTGTGTATTAAGTCCACGTCCATTTCAATGAAATCTCCCTCTCATCCTATAAAGTTAAAGGATTGCCTCTGTTGTCAAGAATGTAATTTAAGGTCATTTTAAACAACAGTACTAATCATATAAATTAAAGTCAAGTGTAAACAGATATTGATACTTATCTTACAATTACTGAGCTCATATAAAGAGACACTTATTGACACGGGTTGGGTTTATAGAATTAGAAGTTATACATTTGCAATGTTTTACTTTGTGTAAAACCTAAAGCTGAGATTTTGGTCTCTTTCTTCATTCATCAACTGGCTGTCAGAAGATTTAACATAGTCTACGTGGGCAGAGGCATCAAAAGCTTGGAGCTGGTACAGTTATCAAGTGATGACAGTAGCAAAGATAAATGACATTTACAACACATTGTGCACATGCAAAATTTGTGGAAATGAAGTTGCGTTGAAACTGCAATTCAAACCTTATCAATATACAGTTGTTCCACTATTTCACAATTAACTCACCGTATAAATTAAGTAGATTAAGTAGCATGTGAGCCAGTAAATATTATCTGGTATAAATTTACAGACAAGTCAAAAACTGAAGGACTTTTTTCAATTCTGTTCACAGCATCTACAGTGGAAAGATGAGCAGTTTTAAGCATTGCTGAAAAAGACATTTTGTTGAAGTTTTTCACTTTTGCACTCATCAGGACAATTCACAAGAATTGCCGTAAAGGGAAACCCAATACATATACTGTATCAGAGGAGAGTGCTGATTGGTTGGGAAGCAGACTCTGATTGGTGGAGGCATTCCATGGGAATGCAGCAGTTAATAATGATCAATGGTTAACTGCGAAGCTAAACTGACTTTTAATTAGGCAGATTGACTTTAATTCGTCATGGCACTTTTCTATAAAAGAACCAGTGAATAGTTGTCACCAATTTTGTTGAGTTGAAACAGTCACAGGGCTTGTGCATGCTATTCTGTATTTGAAGAACAGAGGCCTAAGTATTAATA